AGGAAAGAGAATTGGTGCAGTTCTCTCGCAGCAAGGGCGCCCAATTTCCTACATGAGTAAGGTGCTCGGCCCAGCTAAAGCAGCTTGGTCCACTTATCGGAAAGAAATGCTGGCCATCACCACCGCAGGTGAGATGTGGCGACCGTACTTACTTGGCCATAAATTCCATATTTATACCGATCAGAGAAGCCTAAAGTACCTATTGGAACAACACATCGTAACTCCGGACCAACACAAATGGATAAGCAAGCTACTGGGGTTCGACTATGAGATATATTACAAGACTGGGCCAAGCAATCGGGCGGCAGATGCCCTTTCTCGGCATTCAGGAGGACCATAGCTGGATGGCATCTCCTAGCCGTTCACTTCATTATGGGACGAGCTGCGTGCGGCACTAGAAACCAACCCCTATCTTTGCGAACTCTGGGACAAGGCCTTGTTAGTGGAACCCGACAACTACACATATCGTCAAGGCTTGGTTTTCTATAAGGGTCGGGTGGTTCTTCCCCTGCTTACCAACTGGGTGATGACGGTGATTTAGGAGTTCCACGATACGCCCATGGGTGGTCACTCGGGCGCGTAGAGGATGCTAGCGAGATTATCGGGCCATTTTTATTGGCCACAGATGAGCAAGGCTGTACGAGATTATGTTGCCTCCTGCGATGTTTGTCAGCGGGTGAAGTCAGACTCGTCATCACTGGCTTGCCTTCGACAACCACTTCCGATCCCATGTCAGGTTTGGGAAGACATATCGATGGACTTCGTTGAAGGATTACTGGTATCGGGAGGGCGTTCGATATTGTTCGTGGTGGTTGACAGGCTGACTAAATATTCCCATTTTATGTCCTTGGCTCATCCGTATACATCTCGTAAGGTCTTTGACGAGTTCATCGAAGGGGTGGTGCGTCATCATGGGATTCCGTCCTCTATCGTCAGCGAACGGGACGCCGTCTTTGTTAGCCTGTTCTGGAAGGAGTTCTTTAGTCGCACGAGGACTAAGATCAACAAGAGCTCTGCTTACCATCCACAGTCATATGGTCAGACGGAAGTTGTTAATCGTTGCATTGAACAGTATCTACGGTGCTTTGCACACCAGCAACCGCGACGTTGGCACATGTTCCTGCCCTGGGCGAAGTTCTGGTATAATACTTCCTTTCATCGAACTATTGGCATGACTCCGTTCAAAGCTTTGTATGGGAGAGACCCGCCTAGTATTATTCCATATGCAGGTGATTCTAGTTCAGTGGTGGCTGTGGACCAATTGTTGGGCGAGCACGACGCCGAGCTACGTGAACTCAAAAAGACTCTCGCAGCTGCCAAGGAATACATGAAGCAATGAGCTGATTTGAAGCGGCGGGATATGCAGTTTGATGTGGGCGACTTGGTTCTTCTCCGTCTCCAGCCATATTGCCAGCACTCCGTGTTTCGGCGAGCTTCCGAAAAGCTAGCTGCCCGTTACTTCGGCCCGTATCCCATTGCCGCTAAGATTGGCGCGGTTGCCTATCGCTTGCAGTTCCCGGAAGGAGTGAAGATCCACCATATTTTCCATGTTTCTTTGTTACGACCATATCGGGGTGTGCCACCTTTTGCGTCAATTGAGGTTCCGCCAGTGTCAGATGATGGCGATGTTCCTATTCAGCCGGCCGAGATACTCGGTCATCGTTGGGTGAGACAAGGTGGGCGCGTCGTGGAAGAATGCTTGGTGCGATGGACTTATTTACCACATACCACTCTCCAACATTCATGCATATGACATGTAGTTGTTTGTCGTCAAAATATTTTACCTTCCACTCAAAATTGCGCTCATGGCTTGTTCGCTAAAAGCATCTTGAACAGTGTCTTTCAAAGTGAACATTATATCCACCTCCAAATTGGCCGTCGAATTGTACACTGGCATAGGGTGAAAGTCAGGGGCATCGTTCTGACTATATAAAAATTGAGATGGAACCTTTGTGTAGTTTGGCGTTGGTGGCTCACGGAATGCCACGTCATTGTGCGTTGATATCGTCTGTATCATCCTCCTCACTGACTGATTTCAAATCTTCCTGACTTTCACTATCGCTGGCGACGAATGGATAGCTCGGGTCAGGAGGATTATCATGACCTGTATCACCAACATCATCTTCTTGCTCATGCGAAGTACGCACAGATCGAATGGTGTTCTCAATATCAGCCCACTCTGGGCCCCAAGCAGGCCATTGATAGCCCTCGGGCTCAACAAATGGGGCAGGCTCCGCACGTTGCAGGTATTCTTCCCATGACACCCCTCCTGCATAACTACCTCCTCCGTAGTTTCTTGAACTACCATCCCACCTGTACCAACCTGCAAAACCATCATTATACGAATACTGGCGAGAATGATTTTTATCGACCACCTAGGTCTCAACATAGACCTCTGCAAGTCACATCTTGTTGTCAGCTAGGAACTGTTACATGATGGTCACCGCGTCATCATCATTTTATGACAACTTCTTGTACATAACCCCGCCAGTACTCATGTTTGGATACTAGTAAGTAATTTTTCCAGGTCTCTTATGTCCGCCCATACAAATCTTGTCTGCACAAATGTCACGAAGTTCTTGCCACGTGAATCTCTACTCAATTTTCAACATTGTGGATTCATCGTCTTCATCATTGATACCAATGTCAGAGTTTGCCACCCGACCATTCCATCGAATAAGAAGATGAAAGTTCTTGAATTTACACATGTCTGCAATTTATAATAAATAACTATTAGTTTAAAAGGAATAAAATTAGTATAGTATAATTAGGGCTATGAAAAATAATATCATTCAAAATCATAACCACTAGCTTACAATAACATGAGTACACTAAACAAATTCATCTAAATTCATAACTAACTAACATAAATCATACCATAATTAATCTAAATATCTCTAATATAACTAAACTGACACTATCAGCAATTCATTAAATACATACATCTAATTATTGACACATCAAAATCTAAACAATACAGAATTATATCATACCGAAAATTTTGAGTTTCTCTAACTGTAGTTGCTGGAAATAGGCTGAGAAGGAGATTTTTTGCAAAAATTTGAGTGGAATGCGGCAGATTTTTTAGGCAGCTAGGTGAGGGATGGATTATTTATATGAAAACTAGATCAACAATCACCGCTGGAGACCAACGCGGAGAATACATTCACCGTAGTAGTAGAATGCAGTGAATGTTAGGTTGCTGTGACCTAATTTTCACCTACCAAGGCTTGAAAAACGTGGTAAAATATCACTGCTTTCCTCAACTACGGTGATACAATCACCGTCCAGCACGGTGATGTATTCACTTTTTGAATTTACCGCGATGATTGGTATGCCGTTGTCATCCAAAGCGGTGATGCATTAACCGTTTTTTTTAAGCGGTAATGCATTCACCATTTTTTTTAAAGGGGTGATGCATTCACCATTTTTTTTAAAACGGTGATGCATCCACCGTTATTGTCTTCGGCGGTGATTATTTTCACTGTCTTTGACCACGACGGTGATGGATAAACATGTGTACTTCGAGAATTTTTTTATAACTTATGTATTTTGAAATTTTTTATAAGAACAGGTGTATATTAAGATGTTTTCCAATAATTTTTAGGTCTTTTCGTTTAGATTTTTTGTTCTGCCACTGTCCGTAAATGAAGATTTAACTGAAAAACGAGCAATTCAGCTCGTTTTCTGACATTGAGCCTCTCAAAGCTTACGAATAGTTTGTCAATCCGAGAGAACGAAACACTCAGATCCAATATCCAAGGCTAATTTAGGAGATTTCACTTCTCAACTTCAATTGAAGTAGCATAAACGATTATATAAGTTTGTCCTGTCACATAATTATTCATAATTATTAACGACCACAACACGACGATGACACCATAAGCCGTCGGTCGAGCATAATTTAAAAACGACTCATTACAATGTATAAGTATTAAAAAATATAAATACAATATATTAGCCATAACTATTAAGTAGCGGAGAATTATAGTCACAACTATCGAATACAAATTATTAGCCATAACTATTGTTGTGGGTCAAGATTTGGCTAAAAGCCCGTTACTGTTTTCAAATTTTTAACGTAGAAGGCCATGTCAGCATCGTAAAAAATATGATATGATGACTGCCACGTGGGAGCCAGCTCAGCATCGTAAAAGCTTAGTCATCATTACTAACAGAAGTGTTAACGAAAACTTAACGATTGGCTAATAACTCGATAGTTGTGGCTATAATTTCCCGCTGCTTAATAGTTATGGCTAATATATTGTATTTGCCCTTAAAAAATTACTAAACAGTAGAATTATATAATTCACAATTGTTAGATCACATGCAGGGATGACGGCCAAACTCATGGCCGCGAGTATTCGACCACCTCTGATCCAGTTAATGCTGGGAATCCATGTTTTGAATGGGTATGGTAAAGCCCGCAAAAAATTTGAATAGGTATGGAGCGGGCATCCCCCGCGTTGACTAGGTATGGGTAAAACCAGCGGGTATGGTTTTGGACTCCACGACCCCATACCCAAACCCGCCCCACCAAATTTTTTTTATATGCAGAAAAGTCAAAATAGGAGAAAAATAAATGGATATTGTAAGAAATTGAAACATAAAATGGGCCAAAACAGGACAAGGTGCGATGGAAGTAGATACCCATGACTCGACCCATACAAATACAAATGAGTAATACCCGCCCCATCGCGAATTAGGTCGGATAAAACCCGATAGGATGGGTTCAAATTCCCATCCCTAATTATATAACTACTACTTGAACTCTCCCCCAACCCCAAACAATAACATGCCTGGAGAGCCCATTGGAAAAATGAGCCTGGCCCATCAAGTAGGTGAACCCTGAAAGCCGAATTGGCAACGTGATTTTGCCGACTAGCAAGCTCTAGAAGATTTCGATTTCGATGTAGTATAAAGTCAGACGGTAAGAAGCCCAAACTCGGCCGAACTCCGTCAGAAAGCCAAGCAGCGCAGAAAACAGAAAGACAGAAGGAATGGCGTCTAGGGTTGCTCTGAAGGTTGGCGGCAAGGGGAAGAAGAGCGGCAAGGGAGGGCGAGGCGGAGAGGGGAAATCAAGGACGGAGTGCTTGAAGGAGTGGACGGATTGGAGCCTGCACAAGGCCAAAGTCATCGCTCACTATGGCTTCATCCCTCTCATCATCGTGATCGGCATGAACTCCGATCCCAAGCCGCAGCTCTACCAGCTCCTCAGCCCTGTTTGATCTTTGATACCCTCTTCGCATCTTATGGATCATCCCATCCCAAGCTTCCTCGCCTCGCCTCGCCTCGCCTGTTAGGTTTTCGCTCTCCCTATTTGTCGAAATCGACTTTTCGTTTGAGTTTCAATTAGGGTTTTCCATAAAAGTTTTGATTCCGAACTAATTAGCAAAGAGATGGTCTGTATGTGACTGCTTTGTTTATGTAATGTTGTTTGCTCGCTCCAATGGGATGGATCCGTGCCAGTCACCCTGCAATTCGGACACTTTGTTTGTCTACTCCTGCTTGCTTTTGTTGTTTGAAGCTCAATAATACTTGTTGGCTGACAGCACCCTGCAAATCAGCCCTTTATTTGTTACTTTGTGCTAAATGGTTGAACCCTAGTAATGGATGATTACCTTTCCGTGGTGATTTTGATTTGTGGTTTGTCGAGTAGCAAAGCTGGTTGGGCCGAGAGTTGAGACTCGTTTTCTCCAGCCTATTCCGCTGCTGCTATCTATGTATATGTCAGACAACTAACTCTTTCTGGAGGCTGCCGCAATGGCAACAGCAGGTCCTCCGGCATCCCATTTGGCTATAGACAGCCGGTCAGATCTTCCGTGAACTCGGAATCCTCCTAACAAAAATTATGCCCTGTCTCTCACGTCGGCCCTGAATTTCTTCCAGCGAGATCGACCCCAACTGTAGTGCTGCTATTCCTCGAGAAGGGATGTATAGTATTGTACCAAATAATGGTTCACCCTTGTATTTTCCCGTGGCGGGGATCAGTTTCGTCCGCCTCGGCCATACGAACTCCGACGAGTTGGAGGATCAGGCTGCTGATGTTATTTTCCCCGGTATATCAGAGTACGGGACACTGAACTTGACAGCCTCAAGTGACCTTAGCTTCCCACCCTTGTACTATTTGTGGCAAACATCTCTTTCCACCATGGTAATGGGTCTATCGTTAGTCGTTACTTCTCTGGTAAAAGTCACTCACCAAGAAGAGGTAAAAACTTGTAGCAAGAAAAGACGATTACAAAAAGTTTATTTCAAAAGATGTAGTGAATTCCATTATGGTATATAACAACTGTCGTAGTTTGTTTATGCAAATGAAATACAGAATCAAGATGTCAGCAAAATGATTTTTGGGTGGATTAATGTTAACCAGTGGCAATGTCCATTAGTCATTTTTGAAAAAGAAAGTGCACAGTGGCAATGTGCGCATGTAACTGACAACTATTTTCAATGTCCATTAGTCATTTCTTATACCATTAGTCATTCTGTATAAGAAAGTGCAGTGCAAAATAACTGTAACTGACCGCTATCTTCAATGTCCATTAGTCATTTCTGTATAAGAAAGTGCAGTGCAATCATTTCTGTATAAAAAAAATCATTTCTGTATAAAAAAGTGCATGCTAAAACAAATGGTTGGGGCGAGAGAGGCTCGAACTCTCGACCTCAGGATCACTCTTAAACTATGAGACCTACGCGCTAACCAACTGCGCCACCGCCCCTCGTTGTTGAAGGACCTCATAACTCTCTGTATATATTTTATAAAGGAATAATAGTTTTAATAAATCCAATTAACAATAATAGTTGAAGGATGTCACTTGGTATCATTAGAATTAGATTTTATCCAAAAACTCAGATGAATTTATGCATAGCTTTGTGCATATGATGGACATGTATCCTGAGCAGCTAAGTGCATGTATAATTTGATCCGTATAAATTTTGCATATTCAAAATCTTAATCTTTGAATCCATCTAATGGGCAAATTTAATGATATTCAAATCTTTTTACTTTTCTTGTATCTCTATGCTAATTCCAATTTCTAGAATTTTTGCACAGAAAATTTATATTATTTGTGATTGCAAAATAATAGCAATGTTGGTATTTATTGGGTAATCAAATTTTGGACCTTTCATTGTTCATGGTCAAGCAATTATGGTGGTACAAACCTATATCATCGTTGTATAAGAAGGTACAAAAGTTGTTTTCTTCTACCGTGCAATATAATATTATAAAGCTAGTAAAACACATCACAATATGGATATAATTTTTTTTAAAAAAATAAAGTCAAGCTACATATTATCTTATAGCTCACAGTTAAAATATAATTCTTCTTCACTAACAATCCACAGATTGAAATGTCAAAAAGGTCGAGCTTTCTAGGAAGAAACTACTAATGTTTACAAGAATTAGGGAGACGAATCCAGATAGTGCCCACTAACTCCGAGATATGCCCTTCAGTCTTCATGTAACTGATGTCAGCCATGACATGGTGTTGTTGAGATGTTAGTCATCCATGACGAATCCCGTCCAAAGCTCCAAGATTCTTCCGCAGGTGTGTATAAATATGACATCCACCTCGCCACACCAAACAAAATAACGAAAACAACTAGTGTAAACTAAAACCCCACTCATCTCAAAAAAAAAAAAAATGGCGAAAGAAATCAAGCTACTGGGAACATGGGCCAGTCCCTTCAGCCACAGAATCGAATTAGCCCTGAAACTGAAAGGCCTGCAGTTCGAATACTTGGAAGAAGACCTCTCCAACAAGAGCCAGCTCCTCCTTCAGTCCAACCCAGTTCACAGGAAGATCCCCGTCCTCATCCACAAGGGGAACCCGATTTCGGAGTCCCTCGTCATCATGGAATACATCGACGAGACATGGCAGCACCAGAACCCTCTTCTCCCCAAAGATCCCTATGCCAGAGCCGTAGCTCGTTTCTGGGCCAAGTTCATAGACGAAAAGGTAATTAACGATTTTGAGCACCATTTTCATCTTCTGCCATTGTGGTGCAGAATGTTATGTGAAGAGGGTCGGTATTTCAATTGCAAAAAAAATGCTTTTTTCAGGTCTTGTGGACGGCCTTCAAGGCTTACAATGACAAGGGCAAAGAGCAAGAGGACGCCATCGAGGAATTCTCCCAGCAGCTCAAGTTTCTGGAGGGGGAATTGAAAGGTAAGGAGTATTTCGGAGGGGAGAGATTCGGGTTCGTGGATATTGCGGCCTTCTTCATCCTGCAGTTCCTGCGAGTGCTGCAAGAAGTGAAAGAGGCAGAGTTGATGACGGAGGAGAAGTACCCTGTTCTGTTCGAATGGATGGAGAAGCTGCAAGGGAATGAAGTGGTGGCGGGATGCCTGCCGCCGAGGGAGAAGCATATTGCTTATGTGCGAGCTCGACGTGCAGCTGCAGAGGAAGCTGCTTCCAAAACCAAAGCTGCATAAGGGTATATACGGAAAGAGAAAGGAGAGAAATGGATTTTCCTTTCTCTCGTCCCCTGCATCTTCCTTTCTCTCGTTACCTTTGTTCTGTAGTGACGTTGAGTAGAGTACTGTCCTTTGTGTGTTTTTGCACTAATAATTTTGTAAGCATGGATTTTATGAGCACTTCTACTATACTATAAAGTATTGGTGTTTACAACTTGAAGTTGTACCATAACGTTAAATGTATAAGTTCAGGTTGTATCATAAAGGAATTTGTATTATTATGTTATGGTACAACTTCACAATTTGAAGTTGTACCATGACATAAAGGTACAAGTTCAACTTGTACCATAAGACAATTTGTACAAAAAGTATAGGTACAATCTGAAGTTGTACCATAACGTTAAATGTACAATTTTAAATTGTACAATGAAGACAAAAACCTATAGCACCAATACTATATAGCATTGTAAAATTCATCTAGAGTTTATAGGTGTCAAAACATAACCCGACCCGATTAACCCGCTCGTAACCTGCCGACAACTCGAATTGACTAAAAGTCAACAATCCGTAACTCGACCGACCCGCAACCCGACTGACCCGAACCCGATTTTGAGTTTTTTTTTTTATTATGAAAGAGAAATAAGAGGGAAATTTTGAGTTTTCAACTTTTTGTGTAAGGAAAGAAGAAAGAGAAAATTTTGATTCTTCAATTTTATGAAAAAGAAAGGTAGGGAAATTTGGTTCTTTCAATTTTATAGAAGAGAAAGAAGAGGGAAAATTGAGTGTTTTTAATTTACGGAAAGAGAAAGGAGAGAAATTTTAGTATTCTAAATTTTTTTTGTGAAAAAAAAGGAAATAAATGTGGTGTTTTCAACTTTTTTGTTTTTCAAAATTTTAGCCTTTGAAATATGAATCATTAATATTTTTAATGGAGGGCATGACTAGTTAAATATATTTTTATATGCTTTGAAGGCTAATATATAGCATGTTAAGTCATACGATTGCAATAACTCAGCCATACGATTGTTAAGGTACATACGATTTAGGGTGTATATGGTTAGGGTATAAGGTATTAATGATTTTTACGGTTCTAAGTTTTTTATTAACATATGTTCACTTGAAGTCATTTGAAGTCTTTAACGGCGGGAGATCCCTTTTTAATTTATGTTTATGGTACAGGGTTAGGGTACAAGATATACAGTGTAGAGTATATGATATATGGTTAGGGTATATCAATTAGGAAATATCACTTGTTCATCTTTATTTTGAACATAACAATATGAATTTCACATTTAAATTAACTATACTAGCAAAATCACAACTCGAAAAGATATATGGTTAGGGTATAGGGTATGTGGTTAGTGTATAATGTATTGATGGTTTAGAGTATACGATCAACAACATACACTAATTTAATATTGTCGATTGAGTGAAAGGCTAAGTGTATAGGATATATGTTATTGAGTAAGTTATTATTGAAGTCACAAAATTTTTACTAAATTTGATAGTTAATCTTTAATGGTTCAATTTTTAGGATAATTCGAACAATTTTACAAATAACTTGTTTGACAACAGTTTATTGAAGTTATTTGGGCAATGAGTTATTTCGAAACAACTCCTTTTATCACTATGCTTTTGCCAAATACCATATTTGCATGGTTATACTAAACGAGATACTTTAATCCAATTACTACAGAAATAATACTAAAATATCAAATAAACAATTAATGGTGTCTTTTGGTTGCGAATGTTGATATCACCATTACTATTAGCTAGTGTACTTTACCAATTACGATTAATTATATAACAAGTTTGCAAGCCATACAAATTTATTCAACATTTTGACTAGTTTTTTTAATTAAGTATATATATATATATACGAGGTAGAAAGAAATTGATTAAAAAGTTGAGAAAAATATTTTAAATTAGTGTAATAAAATATGTAAGTTGGTAACGAGTAATGAGTAAGTTACTCGATGCGCTGACCTGAACAACCCGCAAACCGATCCGCCAACAGCCCGCCCGACCCAAAACTCGATGAACCCACAACCCGATTGAACCCGAACCCGATGAACCCGCAATCCGTTTGAATTCGAACCGGATGAACCCACAACCCGACTAACCCGCAATCCATTTGCACCCGAACCAGATTGAACCCAGCCCGAACCCGCCAGATTGACACCTAAATGGAGTTGCAGTTGCGAATAATAAATAGTGGCTTGCGCCTACCAATTAGGAAATTACCGCATTGGAAAAAACTCCAAAATACAAGAGTTATTAAAACAAGTTTCCACAATACAACTCTTTGTCAAATAAATTCTCAAAATAAGTTGTGATTCGCTTGACAATAAAGCAATTAACAGTCAATCGCGCCGAATGGATGAGAGCTTCTAAGTTGTGAAAGAGTGAAGAATGAATAAAGGTTGTGTGTTATATTTCATTAATTTTTAATTTTTGGGTATTTCGGTATATACCGATGCCAATATCGTAATTCCGAATACTGAAAAGCACTCCAAAATGAATCCCAATCCATAAAAAATAAGTTGATATTCGGTAATACCAAATAGTGATAAATTCGACACTATATTCGGTATATCTCAAATACCGATACCAAATTTCCAGACCTACGTATGAATGAACTACACATGTTTCTATTTGCAGAGTACGACATTTGTCCGTGTCCACTAATATATTAGTACTGTCGCCAATTCTTACTCACTTATACCTTCGTTTTGATTTTGTTTTTTTTCATGATTGTTTGTGATGAAGTAACTTTGACAATTGGTATGTACGATAAACTAAGATTTCGAAAACATTAGTAAAAAAAAATGTTTGAAGAAATTATGTAATTCATGTTTATATTAATTGACGAAGATAGTTATTTTTATATATCTATAAAATGTATAATATAGGTTTTTTGTTGCATATATTTGGACGAAAACTATTTTATTATTAATTAAGTTATCGATCATATCATCACTGTACTTTAAAAATACTAGCACAGGGCCCGGTCCGATGACCGGAAGGATTTTGTCAGAAATATTATATATAATAATGGATATAATAGATGATTTGAAATGTATAAAATGATTGTTTTCTACCTTAGTTATGCACATAATATTTTTGAAAGTGATTCAACTATGCATAATGTGTTTAGACCTCCATGAAAAGAGGAAAAATATAATATAAGCATTACATATAATTATTGAATGAAAAAAATATAACTAATTATCATTAATTACTTAATTAAACCATATAGTTGAATATTAGAGTTGCTTCTCATAATTAAACCATATATGTTATTTTTAGAATATTTTGTTTTATTTTTATCAAATGACGCATTTCTCTATAAAACATGAATTCACCAACATAGACTCCGTGGTGCTCGCACTTGTGCTCGAACCATTGAAATTTAAGTCTGGTACGACCCATGAAGCATATCCATGCTTGTACATGGCCGATCCATATACATTATCTTCATTGTATGCTCTAACTGTGTCGTGCTAGCTCTACCATGTGTCTAGGTATAGTTATATCCATTTTAATAATTAAGTTTCTACCTATTCACAACACCAAAATAAAAACAGTCATAAATGCACCTAGTATTCGATTTTGACTACCTGATGAAATACTACATTTGAATAAACTACAACTGATATTACAAATAATAATTATACATCTAAATCATACATAAAATATTTCAAACATCACAAATATTAAGATTAAATTAATTATTATAAAGAGTAAAAATTGTATAATAAGGTTAATTATAATTTGTTTACAATTTATGAAGATAAAACAAATTTGTTTAGTGTAATTGGTTGTAATTATTGTTTTTGTTTGAATAGATCATGGTTCAAATCTTGATATTGATACTTTTTCATATGAAGTAGATAATAATTGTGATAAAAAAAATACTTTTCCAACTTTCACTCTCGCTTCACGAAATTTGAAATAGAAAATCTTAAAACATTGAATATATCTTATAGGAAGAGCTTCTTCAAACAAGTACGAAAGGTATTTTACCTTAAATTATTATATCTTATAGAAAGTGATTAATTGTGAAATCGGAACTCAAGTAACATTAATTCAAATATTAAATAATAAATTATATGTGTGGTTCAGTTTAGAAAAAATACATATGTGTAGCCAAAACATGGATCTTTGTGGCAAATATAGTAATTTTTTTTATCACAAATCCACACATAATATAAAGATAAATTGGGCACTATGACGAAAAAATATAACTAATTATCATTAATTACTTAATTAAACCATATAGTTGAATATTAGAGTTGCTTCTCATAATTAAACCATATATGTTATTTTTAGAATATTTTGTTTTATTTTTATCAAATGACGCATTTCTCTATAAAACATGAATTCACCAACATAGACTCTGTGGTGCTCGCACTTGTGCTCGAACCATTGAAATTTAAGTCTGGTACGACCCATGAAGCATATACATGCTTGTACATGGCCGATCCATATACATTATCTTCATTGTATGCTCTAACTGTGTCGTGGTAGCTCTACCATGTGTCTAGGTATAGTTATATCCATTTTAATAATTAAGTTTCTACCTATTCACAACACCAAAATAAAAACAGTCATAAATGCACCTAGTATTCGATTTTGACTACCTGATGAAATACTACATTTGAATAAACTACAACTGATATTACAAATAATAATTATACATCTAAATCATACATAAAATATTTCAAACATCACAAATATTAAGATTAAATTAATTATTATAAAGAGTAAAAATTGTATAATAAGGTTAATTATAATTTGTTTACAATTTATGAAGATAAAACAAATTTGTTTAGTGTAATTGGTTGTAATTATTGTTTTTGTTTGAATAGACCATGGTTCAAATCTTGATATTGATACTTTTTCATATGAAGTAGATAATAATTGTGATAAAAAAATACTTTTCCAACTTTCACTCTCGCTTCACGAAATTTGAAATAGAAAATCTTAAAACATTGAATATATCTTATAGGAAGAGCTTCTTCAAACAAGTACGAAAGGTATTTTACTTTAAATTATTATATCTTATAGAAAGTGATTAATTGTGAAATCAGAACTCAAGTAACATTAATTCAAATATTAAATAATAAATTATATGTGTGGTTCAGTTTAGAAAAAATACATATGTGTAGCCAAAACATGGATCTTTGTGGCAA